CAGTAGTGACCCTCTCCCCCACCCCACCCCACCCCCAACTGCCCTCTGAATGGCAAGAGAGCTTCCTTAAACTTGGGCTTCTGAGCCTTTTTTGAGCCAACCTCAGAGTTCACCTTACCGGAACACATTGCACACACAATCTTTGTTTTGTCTTATTACTGGAAACTTGATTATCCCCCCTGAACTTCCTTAGTGCTGGCTAACTGTCCTCTTGACTGCCTGGCTTCAACCTCCCTTTACTCACTGGTTACTGCCCTCCACATTAGTGCTAGCTGGGCTCAGTCCAACTGCACGCCTTTACACACAGGCTCCTGTTCCATCTAGTGGGTGGGAGTACTAAGTAAGCCCTGAGGTATTTACTTGGGCCCAACTGCTACTGGCATAAATAGCCAGTTACTGGATAACAACATAAATGCCATCCTTGTTTTTTGGGAAACATCATGTATTTCCAAAGGCAGAACAAAGAATGAAGGCTAAGTGGGGAAACTGCTCTATAGAGGTGGAGATAAATCAGTATATTTAATGGGAATACTCAGGTTTTGCTAGGAGGCTAGAATTTCTCACAATGACTTTTTCTCTATGTCCTGGTACCCCTATTTCCACTCTCAGATCTTATTAGGCTTGCTTCTTGTCTTTACATGGGATACATTCATGTACCTTTAAAGAGACTTGGAAGGCAAATTCAAAAACCAAAGTCTGATTTCCCTTTTCTGTATTGATTTATGCACGTGTACTTTTTTTACTTATTATAATTATTCTTTCAGTGGCTCTAAAGTCATAGGTAGCTAAAACTACTTAGAAGCGCCATTAAAATGAACACTGCACATTATTTTTATGCGGCATTATAACATGAATCTAGACTTCAAGACATTGAGACCATTTTTTTCTATTCTATACGTCACTGATCATGTACTTGAAAGGGTCTTTTTAGCTAATCTTTTCCACAAACAATGTAGGAAATGCAGGACCACATAGACCCTGAAGACAAAGTCTAAGGTCTTTTTGTAGTTTGCCCCAGAAAGCTAACATTAACATTTTTTTTTTGAGGAAAAGAAATTGATACTTTAAAGTATGTCCATTCTTCATTTGCTTTGTCAAAAACTGTCATGTGTCCACCTACCAATAACCTTAGTGTTTTTTTTTTTTTTTTTTTTTTTTTTTTTTTTTTTTTTAAAAAACTCTTTTTGTGCCCCCCTCCCAACACCCTTGGTTTTTTTTTTTTTTTTTTTTTTTTTTTAAAAAACTCTTTTTGTGCCCCCCTCCCAACACCCTTGGTTTTTTTTTTTTTTTTTTTTTTTTTTTAAAAAACTCTTTTTGTGCCCCCCTCCCAACACCCTTGGTTTTTTTTTTTTTTTTTTTTTTTTTTTTTTTTTTTTTTAAGAACCATTTGAGCTCACCGAGTAAGCACTATACGACAAAGCTGTGTGCAAAGTAGTAACATGTTTTCCATTTGAAATTGGCTGGGAAAATGACACAAGTGGTGTGTCCAGTGGTCTAAAATATTTTGTCAACTTTAATTAGAACTGAATTTCACAAACTGTTCTGAGATTGCCAAGAAAAGCAACGAACAGAATTGTAAACCCAAGGCAATTTGTTAATTTTAGTGTCTAAATGCTGCAACTTCCTGACTACAAAAAACATTCAAAGAAACTAAAATAAACGTGTCTGAAAATCATAAAGCAATGTGAACACTTATTGCCCAAGCTACCTGATTGGAGGCATTATCACGGAATTTTGTAATATAAACTTTATGCCATGTTAGGTACCATGAAGAGATTTTGCTTTCTTAATATATTGTGATTTGAATCCAATTTCAGTCAAGGCATCCATATTAAAGCCATATTAATAACGTTTTTACATATTTTAGAAATATACACACTGAATCTTTAAGGAGCATTGTGATGTTAAATTGGCTGTTGCTTTGTGGGACGTGCTGTACTGTCAGAGTGGAAATCATCTGGGGAGGTTGGTTTGTCACCAGCCAGGGTCACAGTCTCAGAACTGTTTTATTCAGTCATCTGGAGGGAATTAGTCTCCAGGGATTGTTTCCCTGTATTCCACCAGAGAAAAGAGTGCTAGAATTGCTAATGTGCTAATGCCCTTCCTTTTTCCTTATACGAAATTACGTAATCATTTGTAAACAAAAATAAGGGAAAACTTCAGCCAAGAGATCTTCTAACTGATGCAATATACAGCTGAAGAAACCCATATGCATCATAGCAGAGGTTCTGTTTCTGTGATAAAAGACCGTGACCAAAAGTAATTTGGGAAGGGCAGGGTATATTGCATCTTCCAACTTGTTCATCATCCAGGGAAATCAAGGCAGGAACTCAAGGCAGGAACCTAGAGGCAGGAACTGAAGCAGAGACCATAGAAAAAGATAGTTACTATCTTCATCTCCCAGTTCTCCCCTCCCATGGTTTGATTTCTTTTTATTTCTAGATTTTTTGGTTATTTAAATTGGAAACAATCTTATTTTACATACCAATTCCAGTTCCCTCTCCCTCCCATCCTTCCATGCTCCCCACCAACCCCCTATCCCATCCCCCTTCTGCTCCCCAGGGAGGGTGAGGCCTTCTAAGGGGGATCATAAAAGTCTGCCACATCAGCTCAGCCTGCTTTCTTATAGCACCCAGGACCACCATCCTGATGGTAGCACCATTCACAGTGGGCTGGACACTTCCACATCAATCATTAATTAAGAAAATGCCCTATAGATTTGCCTACAGCCTGATCTTACGGAGGAATTTTTCTCAGTTGAGTTCTCTCTTGTTCAATGACTATTGTATAAAGTTGTCATAAAACCATGCATCACAATGTGCATATCCTTCTTAGATATCTTCTGAGTGGGAGCAGGATTAATTATCTAAGAGGACTGTGGTTTGGACTGTTATACTCACATACTGCATGTGCAACTGCCGCTGGTATCTATTGTCATTTACTTCTGATCTATGGCTGCTCCTCTGAACAGATCTCACTTAGACATTCATATGTGCTTTTTATTACTTTATTATTGCTGTTTATTACTAGTCTCTCTCTCTCTCTCTCTCTCTCTCTCTCTCTCTCTCTCTCTCTCTCTCTCTCTGTCTCTGTGATGTATGTGTGTGAGTACAGGCACATTTATGCTGCAGCGCATATGTGGAAGTCAAAGGCCAACTTGTGAGAGTCACTTCTCTCCTCCTACCATGGGTTTGAGGTCAAGCCCTGGGCCACTTTTGGGTACTTAGCACCTTTACCTCTTGAGGCATCTTGCTGGTGCTGTTGCTTTTAGGTAGAATAGAATCCAATTTGGAAGAATGTTTTTGTGGGTGGGTGTGTAATTCATGTGTGTGCGTATATCCATGGGTGGGGGTGCATGTGTGTGTATGTATATGAGTGTATGTGGGTGTGTACATGCGTACATGGAAGTCAAAGGCCAGCCTCCCTTTGTTGTTCCTCAGGCATTGTTTACAGTATTTTCTTTTCTTTGAGACAGGCTTTCTTACTGGCCTGGAACTTTCTAAGTGGACTAAGCTGGCTGAATCTCTGCTCAGCGCGGAGATTATAAACATACCACCATGCCTGGCTGCTGCCCCCCAACATAATATTTTTATTAATTTTGGGAATTCCATACAGTGCACTCCGGTCACACATACTTTCCATTCCTCCTGGGTCCACCCTTCCACCCTTCACCCTTCCCCCTGCCAAAAGAAAAGAACAAAACCAACCAAGCAAAAAAATTCCCATCAAGTCCAATTTGTGTTGCCCACATACTCATTGGAGCATGGTCAAACTCCCAGTGGCCAGTCCCTTAAAGAAAATGGAGTCTACCTCCAACCCTAGAAGCCATCAACCATGAAGAGCTACACTTCAGCATCTCTGTCAAAATTTTAAAGGACTCTTTTCAATAGCTTCCTGTCTGGACTTTTTTTTTTTTTTTTTTTTGGGGGGGGGGGGGGGGGGGGGGGGGGGGGGAGAAAAGAGGTTGTAATAGAGACATCCAATGTCTCTCTTAGTTATGAGTCTGTAGTCATCAATACTATTGCAAAAGAAGCTGCCTATGGCATTCGGCAGCAGCATGGAGTTACACAGGGTTTTTGGTTGACAGCACAGATCATAGACCTCAACCTGGTCCCTGGCGGCAGCACAGATCACAGACATCAACACGGTTTCTGGCGCATGGTTGGCGTTTTACATGGATTTTGGGGATGGAGCTGTGGTCTCTGTGTTTTCTAGGCAAGCATTTACCAAGTGAGCCATCTCAGGCAAAATCATGAATTAAATTTATTTTTATTTGCTGTATTAAATTTTAACATAGCTATTCACTTTTGCTCAGTGACTTTGCTTTTCTCTTGGGTCAAACCACACAGATACATACACTGGGGACAAATGCTGGGGATTGGTGATTCAACAAAGGTCCACTATGCTATCATTTGTATGTTCATTCAGGAGCTCTTCCTCTAAATAGTGAACTGTGATTAATTAATTACAGTTCGTTAAACTGAAACTAACTAATAATTTGCTATTTCCCTGTGGTGAAAATATGTTTCAATTTTCTATGCCTTCTTAAGGAAATACAAAATTCACAATATTTAGTAATTGAACTTTTTATTCTCTCAAGGAGCATATGAATTTATATTGCAGCATTTTAATCCTGTCATTCACAAATCCTTCATCTATAATTTGATTCCTAGTGAGGTTGCAGGTTCCTCAGGTACTGTTATAGTTAGTCTAACGTGAGATAGGACTGTTAATTTAGCTCTCAGATGACTTGATGCATTTTAATTTGTGTTTTGAAGTCTGCACAGGTGAAGTAGAATGACACACTATAAACATTTGACAAAGATATCCAGTTTTTTTTTTTTTTTTTTAAAAAGCTAAACATTTTCTTTTGGAATAGTTGCAGATTTACACGAAAGCAGACAGAGTTTCTGTCTACTATTCACATAGCAATTCTTGTGAAAGATTCAAATTACTTTGCTTCATTTGTAAAAACTAAGAAACAACATTTGCCTTTTCAGGAAACTGCTGACTTTGGTCTAATGTGATGCAATGTTTAGAATTGTTCTGCAAACTCAAGTGTCATACACCTAAGTTTGTATTACCAGAAAGTTATGGAAGGTGAGTACTCAAACTTGCAATGTGAATTAGAATTCTTTCTTCCCTCAGGGGTTGACGTCACGTTATGCCTATTAAATTTCTTGATTGTAGAAAGGCTTCAAAGACTAGTGCAGCTATGGAGAATGGAGGGCTGCTTTTCAATATTCTAAAATCAGCTCAGAGAGAGTGTGTTTCAAAGTCTCTTCCTAATTGCCAAAGAGATGGCTGCATAGACACGTGGAAAGTCACATAGCATTTATTACCCACAAATGGGAGGCCCAAAGTTAATCTCAGAACGCCTGCCCCCAGGTCATTGTACAAATGGATGCTGGGTAGTTGTAAATTTGAGCTGGTATTTGGAACTTACTCTGTATTCTAGCTGATAGTTGGAATTTACTTTTTTTCTACCTCAAACAGAGACCGCCTCATGTTTTCTAAGCACCCTGGCATCAGCTGGTCCCTTAGCCTGTGTCTTAGGCAGTGTTCTGTTGCTGTGAAGAGACATCATGACCATGGCAACTCTTGTAAAGGAAGACTTTATTGGGGCTGGCTTACAGTTCAGAGGTTTACTTCACAGAGAGATAGAGAAGGACAGAAACAGAGACACTGGACCTGGATTGAGCATTTGAAACTCTAAAGTCCACCCCCATGACACACTTCCTCCACAAGACAGCACCTACCTGGAGAAGGACACACCTCCTAATAGTACCACTCTCTAATGACGAAGTATTCAAATATATGAACTTATGGGGCCATTCTTATTCAAACCACCATGGCCCCTTTCTCTGGGAGGACCCTGTTTTCGTTTTATTTCTCTGCTATTTTCAGGCAGGGAAAGGCTCTCAGATCCACCTATGTTTCTGTTCAGAAGTGGAAGATTGATGTTATGATTAAGAAAGGGCAAAATTGCCTTTGGGGACTAAATTAGCTTATGCTGCCAGCTACAATTTTATATATTTACACAGCTACTTCCTTTCCCTTTATCCGCCAAAGCCCTTTACCCTTGTTTTCTCCATCAGATAAAAACAATGCCATCTGTTTCATACTCAAGAGTCGATACAAATCATTTCATGTGCAATATCTCATTTAATTTCAAATACTCTTGACATGTCCATGAACATGGCTCAGTAATTAAAATGTTTCGGGATTAGCTGGGAAGAGTTCACTCACCTCGGGTTTTACTGACTAGATGACAAACATTTGACTTCAGGGCTCACCCCTGGAACAGCGGTAACAAGGGCAAGCTGCTCTGCCTTCTCCCAGTCTACTCACTTTTGGACTTCTTGCTGCGGCCAAGTCTCCTTTTTGTGAATGCAAGACTTTCATTTGGCCTCTGCCCAGGCTTCTCTGTGCTGAAAGTCTCCCCAAAGCAGCACACTTCACATTTCCTTTCTTTGTGTCTTCCGTGATCGTGACCATTTACAACGTCTGCATTTGCACTTCTTGGCTCGTGGTTTACCACGGTGAACTCTCTCGGGGACGTTTGCATCTTAGGTGAGAAATCCTAGAGATAAGGTGTTATCTGGAAGCAAATCTAAACAGTAAGAGGAGAATTTCATATATAATGACCCATACAATTTAAGAATAGACTCCCAGTTGTGACTTGACAATGAAGCATGGCATTTCTGGGAGGCATAGTATGTACAATTGAGTAATCAATACAATGGTTGCTTTTGACATTTGTGTTTCAATGTGGAATAGGAAGATCATGTCTCTGTTATTTGCTATTGTGTTTTGAGAGTAAGCTCTGAAGTTACACTCTGTGTATAATGTAGCTCATTTACTACTAGCGAACAGGTTTAAAAAAATGCTTCAGACCGCAATGTCATTTCTGGATTCTTAAATCTTTCCATTAAGGGCAATTAAACTGCTGACATCAGATTAGAAAGGTATTTGCATACCTACTTAGGAGTAATGGAGCACAGTCCCTATTGTGCTTGAGTGAATTAAAGGGAACATGCTGCTCATTTGGCTCAGGATCTCTCAGTTTCTATTTGAGGAGACAGATACCAAAGGGCTAACTAACTGGTGCCTGGAAGCACAGGGTGCTGGCAGGTCACTAGGACAAACCCTAGGCTGCCTTACTGTCCATTTACATCTCCCTACAGTATGATTTTCACTCTAGCTGTGAACCACAATCATAGGGGGCCTGTGGAGCAAACTGTTCCACAAGCTTGGCCTAGGTGACCTACACCCAACCTCAGCCTGTGAGCTGCAATGTGGAGGACTTCAGAGTCTGGTACCCGTTCACTGGGCCTGGAAATCCTTCTTTATGCTCTCAACACATTTGAAGGAATACATCTGTAGTCTCTGGACAAATAGAGCACATTGTATATAGGATGACAATGCATGGGGTTTTTTATATTAAAAGTCAAGCAATGACAATTAGATAGCCCCGAGCTGTTCATTTATTTCCTCACAGGCAGAGACATGATTCTGTACACATTTGTCCCCTTACTCTTCCTTAGATGCTAGCAAATCATGGACTTCCATAACTATGCAATGAATGAATATATACATGAATAAAGCAAGCCTTTTAAGTCACACCTTACTTTTTTTGAATAATTCAGAAACCTTGCTGCTGGAGCGACATTTTAAAATGCTGTTTAACTTCCTCATTAGTGGCATTTGCTTGAAAACGTGTTGTATGGGTTAAGACTGCATCATTATATGTTGGACACTAAGCACAAACTTTATTACAGTCACTGCAGGTTATGTGACAATTTAGCTTATTTCAAATTATCTTTCATATATTTCTGCTCTCATTATTGGATGGCAGACATCACCCACACTCATCAAGGAAAGAAAGAGTTTCCCTGAATTGAATTAGAAGTTTTGTTTTGCTTTTTTTTTTTCAAATTACGGTTAAATACTCTTTGGTTTTCAGGTCTGCGCAAAATTTCACACTTAGATTATTTCTCTGGTTTTGGTTGAGCCAGCAGCAAGCTTCTTGGGAGGCGCACCGACGCACAGACCATGGGCAGACGTATCGATCCCTCAGACCCCTGAAAGCTCTGTCTAGCATGCTTTATTTTGCTCAGGACTCAGTGACTGCCTCTGCTGCCCAATTTAAGAGCCTGTCAGCTGCCCGATTGCTGTATGAGTTAGAATTTCAAGCTCTACCAGTGATGAGCACTGCTGGGGAGAGAACCCAGGCTGTAAGGCAGTAGGAGACAGTCTTTTCCTCCAGTGGCTTTTGTTTATCCCTATGCGAAGCTTTGAGGCTGACACCACACTGTGCTGCTTGCTGTTTAGGAAAACCTTCAGTGTACTTCATGCCCAATTCAGAGCTTCTACTAAGAAGTGCTGGTTAGGTGCTCAACACAAATGCTAACAATAATAGCAATTATTACTCACCCCATCATCTCTCTTACTAAGGAGAAAAGCATCATCATACATTTAGTAATTCTTCAGACGAGATAATGTGTTTTCTTTCCCTTACCCGAGCTGCCACTGTGCCACGTGCTTCAGTGGAGTGGCCTGTCTTGAAGACGATTCCTTGTGGCAGCAGTTCCTTTTTACAATGTTTACAGGAGAGTGGCAGCAGCCAGACCAGGGCAGATCTCAGGCACAGGCAAATATAAGAAATGTGTATACTATTATCACCGCAAACTGCCTTCAAAGGAAGGCAACAACTCTCTAAAAATATACAAATATAACTTGCTCCAGTGATTTCATTCTTTTTAGATTTCCTCCATTTCTTTTTTTCTGACAATATTTTAAAAACTGCCGACAAGTGGAAGCTATTGCCAAAACTCTTTCTGTAAATGAACGTAAGAGCTAGTTAAATGGGCTGGGAAATCACAGTGAATTTGAGTCAATCATCAATGTCATGTATCCTGTTGACATGGCCTCAGTTCACATGTAATAAAATCCATCTTTTTTTAAATCTCTGATCATCATACGTGACTTTTAAAGTATAACGTTTTATAAATATAAAAACAAGGAAGCCAATGTTTCTTCCCAGAAAAGCTTGTGTTTAGCTATAGAAACCAGAGGTAGGAGCTCTATGGATGTCTGTTCATGCCCCTCCTGGATGTTGTTACTCTGTAGTTATCTGTCATCTTCAAGATCAATAGTTTCTCACATACTATCCAAATAGACCACAGTGGATGGAGGCGAACCTGACACAATTTTATATTGGAGGTGTTCGGTTTGTGGCTCACATCCTCTGGCTTAGCTTATCAGACTCTCAACTTACTTTATTTAGTACCTTTGTGGCGGGAATGTGAGTGAAATCAATAGGGTTTTCCACTAGATGTCTTCCTAGTGGGGAGGTGAGTTTTGTACACAGCTACATTTCTCTTCATTGGAGAGTGCTGCATTCATACTGGATGACTATGTTAGATTCTGGTCTTCAATGGAGTCACCTTACTGCTTTAAAATCACTTTAAAACAGTACTCCCTCAAAGACATTTGCAAACCATTAGCCCATGCAGCTTCTGTTCTAAACAGATAGCTAACAAACAAATACATAGATGTTTTACATAGATGAGTGAAGGCCTCTAAGCGTCTTCTTATGTCTAACCCTCATAAGCCAGATACAGAGGGCTGAGACAAACAAAGTCGAGGGGCAGACATGGGAAAAATTGGAGGGGAAGGAGTGGGGATAGATGGAACAAAATACATTATATCCATATATATATGTTTGAGCCAATGCAACACAAGTGACCTCAAGGTGGAGCTATACAAAAACTTCAAGAAGCAGAGATTCTTAGATTATCTGGTCCATCTGCATAAGTCTGACGATCCTATGTGGCAATAAAAGAAATGCTTCTTAAGGAGCAGGAAAGCAAACCTGGTCATTGGCAGAGAACTCACCATTGGACCATAAACAGGCACTCTCCTTTCCTGAACATCGGTTTTCTTCATAAAATAGATGACACTGGTCACCGTGGCTTGAGAAAATCCAGACACCTTTGGGTTAAGAATGCAGGCTAGCTTGTCTAGTAGGATGGAGGCAAAGGATTATTATACAGTAGGTTTTATTTTACATTATGTATCTTCCCGTCTGGGGCATAGTTTAAATTTCAGTGAAAAAAAAAAAGTCTCTGCTGTAACTGTGTTCTCATTACTGCCCTTGCAAACAGGTGAGAGGAAGAGTCATTTTCTGGAACCCTTGATTTTGGTTTACTTGGCAGTGAATTGACTCCTTATAGATTTGACGGATATTTTACTTTTGAGATCCTAAAATGGAAACGTAAGTTAGACATGGAAATGCAATTCTAAATATGTTGTCTATCTAATTAAGCTTTCAGTTTAGTACCTGAAATAAGTTTGGGATGAAATGATTTGCAACTTGACTTGGCTACTATCTGATTGTGTGAATGTTTCAATTTGTTTGTAAATTGCTGTTTGACATTTTAAAGCCTTATATCGGTTTATCTCTATTTATTAATTTATATATAGGACGACTTCCACATACATGGTTAACTATTTTGACTTATAAAATGGCATTTTCACATAGTTTAAAAACAATTTACATCTATCAGTCTTCTATCTATCCATCTATCTGTCTATCATCTGGCTCAATGTATATGATTTATAACAACTCCAAAACTGGTTTTAGGGCAAAACCAACAGAAAGGGGACCAGGAAAGGAATTTCTTTCATAGTCATAGTATATCCTTAGTTGTACTAAAATTCTTAAAAATTACAGTTATTTGAGTCAACATCCCCATAAACAGTGACTATATCTGAGGGGATAGGTGACACATTGAATCTTCTGTAAATCAGTCAGTCCTATTTTCTCCAGTGTGTTCAATTTCCCTGTCTCCAATGTTTTTTATTTTATCAGAGTGGTTATCATGTATCAAAATAACTTGTCTCTCCCTCAACTTCTTTTTAGGTAAACAGGTCCTGGCAGAGCAAATCAGCAGGAGTAGAGAGAGAAGGGAAGAGGTCAGCAGTCGACCGACATCTGAAATTTAACTAGAACTTTATGTTTCTTTCTGAGAGGGAAATGTATTCATATTTGTCCTCTCCTGTGATTTATTATAGTCACGAATGGTATCTGGAGAACTTATACTATTTATTTCTTTTCTATCTGAACAGAATGCTATTAAGTGAGTCCATACAGTCCCCCATCTAGCTTTACATCAACAGCACATACAATTACATATTGACTGCATTCACTGTTAACGATGCGCCAACAAAAATTATTCTTTGAGCAAGCAAGAAAAAGGCAATTTCAGGATTTCTGAAAGGCTTTTGTTACTTTGGAATTAATGCCTATCTCTTGAACTAGCAAGAGAAAATTAAATGATTTAACAAATTTTGTATTGATTTATGCTTTTCTGATTACATGCAAAATACAAGCTAATTGGCTTGACATCAAAGCACATAGTAAGCAATTATACATACATATATACATATATATAAACACACATATACATATATATAATGTAGAAATAGACCTTTAAATTTCTTTAATTAGAAAACATACTTGGAGTGCTTAGCATTAAGTAAACATGCATAACATTCTTCGGAATTCTTCACAGAGCACATGTGTTTCTTTGTAAAAATTCCTCTCTGACTTTGTAATTGATCCCATCCTAGCAGACAGTATGTATATGCAGCATGTGACTGCAGTCTGTTTCCTAAAGTGTGAGTTGAAGCCCATTAGAATTCAAACAGGTGTTAATGAATGTGTAATCTCTGCTGCTATACACAACACCTCTAGGTCAGGCATGGTGCTTTTCACACACAGCTCTTGAATGAACAGATTTGTGAATGGGAGGGGCATTTCAGTGTAATAGGTCAAGTGATCTAGGCCACATTTCTATCTAGTCTTCACCAAGATCTTTACCAGAAACATAAAGATGCATATACTCATTTCTTCAGAGATTACACACACACACACACACACACACACACACACACACACACACCTACACCCACCCACCCACAAACACACATGAATATCTATGCACACACAAACACACATGAACATCTATGCACACACAAACATGCATGCACATACATACATGAACACACTTACATGGCCATACACACACATGCACAAACACACACATCTACATACACACACATGAACAGAAGGGGGTGGAATGTAATGTGCAGTCTTTTCAAGTTGTTGGTCAGTAACATGTAATTCAAAATAATGGGAAGTTTTCTTCTATATTTAAGTACTAATTGTAGTTTAAGAATTAATATTATTTTTAATATGACAGACTTCGAAGATTCCCCCATGGAAGGCCTCATTCTCCCTGGTGAGCAGAAAGGGAATGGGCTAGGGGGTTGGTGGGGGGCAGAGGAGGAGGCGAGGGAGAGGGAATTGGAATTGCCATGTAAAACAAGCTTGTTCCTAATTTAAATTTAAAAAGGGGAAAATGAATTAAGATTATTTTATGATAAAAATCATGCTGGTGCTTTTTTGTAAGAGGATGTGTATTTAAATGTTCTGAAGAGATTTATCTTTTTCTGGGATCAGTTTGGATAAAGAACTCATTTTTTTAATCTGTTGTAAAATTTTTCTTGTTTCTCTGATGAGGACTGAGCAATGTTCTTCTCTATGAGTGTAGCAGTATGTCATTAGAAGTCATTTTATTGCATGTTCATTTAGAATAATAGTACTAAGTTTTCCCCTATGACCTATGACCTATCCAATCTCAGGTTCATGGCTACTTTAGCAGTGTCAAGTATGGTTCTATCTCATGAAGTGGACCTTAAAGCTGGTAAAATTTCGTTGGTTTCTTCCATAACATTTGTGCCACTATTGCACCATTATAACTTGAAATTGTGTTGTTGTAGGATGAAAGGTTCATAGCTTGGTGAGACTGATAATTGCTGTTCTACAGTAGTGTGTATAGTACATTCCAGTGCTACAAATACTAGTTGGTAGAGGTGAAGATTCTAGTTGTACACCACATAATTTCTTCATGTTTAGTGATATAAATAAGTGGATTCTTCAGCAATAGGGTCTTACCCTCAAGTTGTGGAGGGCAACCAATAGCACTGGCAATAGCTTATGGTTGGAGGGGGCATTGTATGGGACCTCTTTGGCCAATGATTCAACAAGATGTAACCCATTCCTGGTTTGGGGGATATTACTGAGAGGCATATGGTGTCCAATTGAGTTATCATCACTCCAATTTTATGGTAACTCATTTCAATTCCTTTTATATTTGTATATAGTTTAGGAAGGTTCTTGAGTTTTCATATGGGTTTTCAGAAGTCTCCACATTCCCTTCTCTACCTTGATCTCCTCACTCCATTCACATTTAATCCTCCTATTCTAGTTTTCCCATTATCTCCTTATAATACTGTGTTCTACTTCCTCTTCCTTGCAAGATCCTCCCTGGCCCACATTCCTTTATGAACCACCTAAACTCTGTGGATATTCTGAATAAAACACACATATTTGTAGCTTAAAGGGTAACATCTACATATAAGAGAAAACATGCAAAAATTATTCTTTTGTGCCTGGATTACTTTGCCAAGGATGATGTTTTTAGATTCATCCATTTATCAGCATATTTTGTAATTTCATTTTCTCCTAACAGATGAAAATATTGCATTGTGTAAATATGGCACATTTTCAAGATCCATTCATAAGGTGATGGACATCTAGGCTGTTTCAAATTTCTATTATGAATAGGGAGAGTATCAGTGAACACTGATGAACAAGTATCTCTATAGTAAGATGTAGAGTCTTTTGAGTATATGTTCTAGAGTGGTATAGATGGATCTTGTGGTAGACTGATTTTCATCTTTTTGGGGAACCACCATGTTGGTTTCACAGTGGTTATACCATTTTGCATTCCCACCAGCAAGGAGTAAGTGTTATCCTTTTCCTGAATCTTCACTAGCATCTGCTGTCATTTGTTTTGTTGATTGTAGCCATTCTGACTCGGGTAAGATGAAATCTCAAAGTAGTTCTATTATTCATTTCTTTGATGGCTAAGGATGTTGAATATCTTAAAAGTGTTTCACAGCTATTTCAGTTTCATCTTTTAAGAATTTTCTGTTTAGTTCTGTACCCCATTTTAAAATTGGGTTATTTGTTTCCTCGATGTTCAGGTTTTTGGATTCTTTGTATATTCTAGATACTAACCTTCTGTCAGATATATAATTGGTAAAGATTTTTCTCATTCTGTAGGTTGCTACTTTGCTTGAATGATGGAGTCCTTTGCTGTATATTGGCTTTTTGTCTTCATGAAGCTTCTTCTAGAAGTATATGGTAATTAACATAGAGACCCAAAGTTGAACAACGGTAGACAGTAAGTGACTTTGGAGTACTTAGTTCTAAATAGTATGTCTTCATTAAAAACCTCCTCTCATTGCTCAGAAATTTGTTCATAGGAGGCAGGAAGATTGTAAGAGCCAGAGCTGGTAGGTTACTCCAAGAAGACTGTCTTTCAGATGCAACAGGACTCATGAACATATGAATTAGACAGTATAATGACATGTACAAGGGCTGCACAAATTCAACCAAGAAAAAAGTACCAGCATGAAGAAGGGGATATGAGCACAAAGTCCTATCCTAAGGAAGAAGTTATTTGCAATTGGTACCTGTTGGGAAAGGGAAAATCATGTTTGTCCAAAGGACACTGTGTTTATCAATAACACTTAAGGGCAGGCCTCATGTTCAGGACTAACCTATGAGAGAGAGAGAGAGAGTGAGAGAGAGAGAGAGAGAGAGAGAGAGAGAGAGACAGAGAGAGACAGAGAGAGAGACAGAGACAGAGAGAGACAGAGAGAGAGAGACAGAGAGAGAGACAGACAGAGAGAGAGAGACAGAGAGAGAGAGACAGAGAGACAGAGAGACGGAGACAGACAGAGAACATGGAGTTGGGTGAGTAGGGATGTGAGAAGGATATGAGAGGAATTGGGGGAAGTAAAAATATGATGAAAAGATATTGTATGAAAAATATTTAAAAAATTAAAAAGTAACTAAAAATGAAGAAAGATTTATTTGCCAAGATTATATACTTTGATTATATACTTTCTTACTTTTGTATATAAATTCTGTATTCTATTTAAGATACAGCTAGATTTTGGACTGGGGATGTAAGTCAGTGGTAAAGTCCTTGCTTAATACGTACAAGGCCCTGGATTCTATCTCTAACATCACACACACACAATGCACATACACACACACACACACTCATATATATACACGCATATTCATACACACATGTATGCACACACTCACACACACACACAGAAGCACAATTTGGTTTTATTGATGGTATAAGATTTCTCTTTATGCTCTTTAGCTCACTAATCTTTTGATGTTAAGCGTTTGTTCTTTTTTATCATGTGATTTGTTTGGTTTATTTGTTCATCTTTTCTAGAATTCCAAGGTAAGTTTCTCTTAACAAGTAAATCTAGATTATGATTAATATAATATTTTGTTCCTTCTCTGAGCCACAACTTGTCATTTGTCCAGAGTCATTGTTTTATTGTCATTATTTCCTACCAGTTTGGTTTTTATCTTTTTTAATGCAAAAGTTGCTTAATATCATTTGAAAACATTGCAAATAGAAGAATCTCTTAAAACAATCATTATTAGTTTATAGTTTTTGTATTATGGCCAAAGTATATGATATTATTTATGTTAATATTGTAAAGCTATTTCTGTTAGACTTTTTGTTGATTGATTTTTATTTTGTAATTTTGCACTTATTTCTGTTTATGGGTATCTGAGAGTGTGCACTCTATGGTGTGAATAAGTTTCAGAGGGCAACGTGAAAGAGCTGGTTCTCACCTTCCACCATGTTCGTGTGTGGGCTCAGGGAATTGAACTCATGCCTTCAGGATTGGTAGTGTAGGGCCCAAAAGAGGGGTCCAACCTCTGGAGACACACCCTACAGAGTCACTCACAGGACACAAGTTTGATGCAAAAGCAAAAGTATTTTATTTCAATATGTTGGGGGTCATTCACTGGGAAGAGAATGACCCCGAGTTTCTAAAGCAAACAGTTTTTATACCTCTTTGGTCACTAGGCAGGAGTGTGACAACACATTGATTGGCTATAACATACATGAGACATTTACTGATGGTTGGGAACTGAACTTACAATTTTGCCCACGAGGGGTTTGGAATGTTATTTTGGTTTTTACACCTGCAAGGCCATGGGACAGCTAGTGGTTTTTCTGGGAACAGAGTGGTTTATACTTATTTTCAAAACATGGGTGCTCTGGAGCAGGATAACACATTACAATTTTTGGATCAGACAGTTGTTGAAGGTAATAACATTCCTTGGAAAAAGTAATAATAACAATTTCCAGAGACTGGTCATCATGACTGACCATTTCATGTGTTCTTTTTCCCAAGAGCTCTGTGTGTAGCCAGAGTGATTTTTAAATACATGCTGGTGGGTATCAGGCTGGGTTGAGTTGGGGCCTTTCAGTAGCAAGTGCCTTTACCTGATGAGGCCCTCATTGATTTTCTATACAGGCTTGAGTGTAGTCAATTTTTATGTGATCCATGTTTACTTAAAACATTTACTTCTAGTACATTTTAAGTTCTGGATTATAGTGTGTACCTATAATGTATACCTCTCTGTAGTCTGAATGTAAAAAGTGCCTGGCAGGCTCAAGTGTTACACACATGGTTCCCAGATGGGTGGTGCCATCCTGGAAGGTTGTAGAAATTTTAGGAGGTGGAGTCTTATGGGATGAGGTAGGTCACCATGGACGACTAGGTTTGTGATTTGCTAACCTTACTTCCCACTCACTCTTTGCTTCCTGACTGGGAACAGATGTGATAAGCTGCCTCACGTGCCTGCTGCTATGTGCTCCCTGCCGTGATGAACTGGATCCCTTCAATCTACGAGTTACAAACAAATCCTTTCTCCTTTGAGTTGCTTTTTGTCAGGTACGTGGGAACAGCAATGAGGAAAGTATTGGGTATGACTTTGAGGCATGTTCTTCATTTATCAAGTTATCCACATCAAAGCTGGCTAGTAGTATATATGCATTTAAAACACCTTGTATGTAGTATGTTATTCAATTTCTTTTATATGTAATAATTTGGTATCTATGGGGTATATGGCTCTTGAATGTTATCATCCTTCGCTGTGAATTGTAGCCTTCAACATTACGTTATTTGTCCTTTAATACATTTGCTATATTAATATTTTTCTTAACATCAATATAACAATTCTTGCTGTTGCTTTTCTAATGTGCTTCTGGAATGTTGCATTTCTGACCCCGCGACCTTAGCAGCTTTGTTAGACTAAGCGGGAACTCAGCCAGGCTTGAAAACAAGGGGGCTGGCTTATGATATGGGAAGTCAGGTTGGGTATTTTTCTCCTTCCTCTCTCTCTGCCGTGTGTCTGTGAAAGGCCTTACCTAAGGTGATGCTATTTCTAGTTTGGCCACTAGGTTGTATTGTAATCTGTTCTGAGCTTTAAAAAGGTGTTTGCTGTACAGGTTGTATTGCTTTTCTCTCAATTGCTTAACCAAAATGAACAGTTTAAGCCCAGGAAAGTCTCTTTGTCTCAAAAGAGCAAAACATGGGAAAAGTGAAGACAAAAAAAAAAAAAAAAAGAAAATAGAGACAAAAGGTAGAAACTAGGATTTTTCTCAAAGATGTGGTCTTTTGAGACATTTTATCCGTCATTCTCTCTGGTTTGGAGGGGCTGAGATGAGCGTGCGAAGGGCTTGCCAGCCAGCATGTATCTCTGCTTTTGTCTTTGGAATTCAGCCCAACAGTGGTCTATTTAGAGATCATTCTCTCTAATAGTTCTTCATTAGTTTATATATTTGTTTGTGACTAAATAGACGAAAGGGAAAAGACCATTAGGGCAGATGCCATGCTAATTGTTTACACACGATTTCCTCCCTCTCTGAGTACAAATCGTCAAATTTGGGGCAAAAGGGATAAAAACATAAATTTGGTAGTGTCTGTGAAGCCGAGAAGGGCTCTCCTTCAGTGGCACTGTGGGATATGATTTGGAGGACCAGATTGGATGATAAAAGTAAAAAGAATATCCGTGTCTATTGCTTACCTTTAATAAGGTACATATTTAGTTTTTCCTTTTTTCTGTAGGCAACACAGCACAGTAACAACCTCCAGGCTGCCAGTTGGTACAAAGTGTAAGTGGGTCCAAGAGCAACAGGGCAGTTTATAGCAGCAAAGGAAAGTTATTAAAAACCTCTAAGGCGTCTCAAATAGCCCGTTTACTCACTTCACTTAAAAACCAGCCTAGAATTAGTTCCTGACTACAACGGACTCCCCCACTTCCAATAATAAAGCAGTGTTTCTCTGATAATTGTGCTGGATGTGCAAATATTAACCAAATGTCAGTTGACTAAGGACATGTGCTACATGCCCTCCACATAAACACAAGTGACAAGGAGTCTGGGGCCCCAGAGGCTTTAGACAGCTACTATGCGTCCTCTTGAGAAAATGCCATCTGCACTGCAAATACAGGCAAGGCTTCAGGATAATTAGCTTCAAGGGACAACTCTCCAGGGTGCCGATGTGCTGCACCCAGGTAATAATAGTTTCCGTTTATTGAGTGGTTTCTGCATTTCTCATTACCCCATTTCCTCTGCTAAGAGAAAAATCACAAATTCATGCCATCACTCTGTTAGGTATTATTGTAATTATTTTTCACTGTAAATCAAGAGGCTCTGACAGACTGACTGGTTCAAAGTAGCCATAGACACAGAGCTGGGATCCACAAAGAAAAGCAGTGACAGACGGAGCTACAAATATGTACTGGTGTGTGAGGGTTATGCATCTTCAGGTTAAGGATATGGCCCAAACGAATTTGCTGGGTCCTAGCCTTTGTGTGTCCACAGGAGGACTGCTCCTGTCCTTGTCCGGTGTCCCTTGGTATTGTCAGTCTCTGCAGAAAGCACATTGTTATAAAGGACTGGGCAGTGATTCTTCAGCGCTTTCTTCATTTACAATTCCGCTATGCCAGGGTTAGCACTTTTTTATTTTAATCGCACGTTTGTATTAATTGATTCTTTGTGGGTTTCACATCATGCACCCTGATTCGATCCATCTCCCTATCTTTTCATATACACTCTCTGCCCTGGCAATCCTTCCAAAATAAAACAAAATTCAAAAGGAAAACAAAACAAAACAAACAAAACCTCAAACAACAACAACAACAATAAAAACACACACACACACCTTAGTGTGTAGGCTGAAGTGTGACAGAGTAAGTCACACAATATACCTTTTAGTCCATTCATCTTTACTTGTTAGTGTTCATTGCAATGAGTCATTGGTCCAGTTAGAAGCCTCTGGCTTCTGTTACACCTTTCAAACTGGGCCTTCACTGAAACTCCTCTTGGATATCCTATTGTTGTCTGTGTCATGGAGATCCTGAAGCTTTGGATCTGCAGGTCTGGCCCTGTCACATGCTCCAGCTGTCCATAGTTGAGGTGGATGTTGGCGGGGAGGCAACTCATAGCCCTGGTTCTGGGCCTGGGTGGTAGTTGGGTTGGTCAGCCTGCCAGCTTTCTCTCGTTGACACCAACAGGGCAAGCTCTCCAGCACTGCCTTGGCTTAGCTTACTTCTGTAGCAGACTTAAGTAAGGAGTGGGCCAGTTCTCCGGTTCTCATGCTTTATGGTGCCCATACTACCAGAACCAGCTCTACTATTTTGCCCAGGCAAGGTGCAGGACCTGTTCTCCCTGCTGCAGCTGGGAGAAGGGTAGGGCCAGCACTCCCACCCACCACAGGTAGTGAGGGGCAGTGGGGGGGGTCAGGGTTAACACTTTAAAAGATTCATTCCATTTGACTTCTGTAAACTACCCCACAGATATACTTTAATCATTGTCCTGCTGACCCATTGTTTTGCTTGCCCCTTTCTTGCTTTTTTATGAAATTATCTACCATTAAATACTAATTGTGCTACTTACATTTTGTACTCCAGCTCAAGGCAGGGGGAGTTTTATTTGGGCACATGCTCTCATAGTGTTAGGTCCTTGTTTGCTTGACCCATTTGCTTGAGCAGAACATCATGGCAGTGGGAGTGTGTGACAAAGGGCCTTCCTTACCTATGGTGGAGGCAGCAGAGACAGAGGACTGGGTCACTAAAGAGTTACTGCTTCAAAGTGCATCCTCAGTCACCAATTTCTTTCAGATAGGCCCCACCCTTCAACTCTGCTCCACCTTACAGAATAGTGCCACCATGTGGGAACCTGAGAGTACAACATGTGAGCCTGGCAGTCCATTTTGTATTACAAATTGTCTTTATATTATGTATGTTGAAAACATCTTCTTTGATACTATGGCTTATTTCTTCAATCTGATTTCTCTATCTCTTGGTGAATAGACCTTTGAATATAAGAAAATCAATTTATTCTCTACAGATCATCATTCTTGTGTTTAAAAAGTTCCTATTGGACACTAAGATCACAAAGACATCTTTTCTACTGTTTTTAAGTTTACTTTTGCTTCTCCCATCTAGTGACTTAACATCTTTGGAACTGATCTCTTGGAGAAGTGAGATCTAATTTTTTTTTAATGCAGAACTGGTTGCCTTTGAGCATCCCGTGACTGCATCACTCTTTTTGCACAGGTTTGCTGTGCTAAGCTATTGTGGCCCATTCACACACAAATGTACTTATGTCTGGGCTTTCTCTCCTGTTGGTTTACTTGATCAATCATGTGCCTTTACTTAATTGTTTTAATTTTATAATAAATTTTTACAACTGATAGCTAATTTCTTAACACAGAGTACCATCAGTATTGTCCTTATTACCATGTGTAGATTTTAAAAATAATTCTATAAAATTTTACCCTGTTTTAGGTTTTCTCTTATAGAGTAACTTTATAGAAGTGTCATTCATATTGCATATTTGTATTAATTATTATCCTATATTATTTACTTTATGTGCTAACATATTGTATTTATTTGATTAATAATATAGAGTATTTCTTGAACATAATATGTTTCATCACTTACTTAAGGTCTATTATGAAGACAATTTGGACTATAGTAACAATAAAATTAATTTTTTTTGTATATTGGATAATATTGAAGGATAATGTCCATGTCCAAAAGTACTACAATAATTTGTATGTAGATTTTTGTATGAACTTGAGCTTTCAAAAAGTTGAGTGGACCTGGTAGTGGTGGCACGTGCCTTTATCCCAGCACTTTTGGGAGGCAGAGGCTAGTGGATTTCTGTGAGTTCAATGCCAGCCTGGTCTACAGAGTGAGTTCCAGGACAGCCAGGGCTACACAGAAAGACTCTATCTCAAAAAAAGGACAAAAACAAACAAACAAACAAACAAACAAAAACCCAGAACAAACAAACTAAAAAGGTTTGGTTCCCAGCATCCTTGTTGGGCAGCTGACAACCATCTGTAACTCTAGCTCTAGGGGCATCCAATGCTTTGGCCACCATGAGCAACTACACTCAGGTTTGTACACACACACACACACACACACACACACACACACGCACACACACACACACTTAAAAAATAAAAATGAAGTTAAATGAACACCTCAAAATATGATATGACCACAATCAGTTTTGTGATTGTTTTACATTTCCCACCAGTTTTTTACTGCCCACAACACATTTTAATAAATTGTATTTTCCTGTAGTTTAAGATAATGTCCTTTAATTTCTCTTGTAGCTTCTTTACTGTTACACATATAAAATATGTTGTTTTCTCCATAAATATTTGGGTGAAAAGTCTTGTCTGCTATTGGTGTGATTCAAATTCTACCCTTGGAAGTGGTCCATGTAGTAATATCTAGGAGGCCCAAGTTGCTGTTGCTGAAGGCCATGTCTGGGTCCTTGGTCATACTACATCTGGGGCCTGTGTTGATGTCTGTGACCCGTTTTACCACTGAGTGCCATGTCTGTGTCCGTGATCTTTGCTGCCACCTGAGG